AAAATGAGATGTTTATCCTGTATTTGATTGTGTTTATCTGCAGTTAGTTACACGAATTCAGATATGAGATGAAATCGGATAGGGATGAACGGGTTTAAGAGTTTAAGAGTTTTAAGAGTTTAAGAGTTTTAAGAGTTTTTAAGAGTTTTAGCCAAATGCTTTATAATATAGTATAGATATATATATATATATATATAATAAAATAATGTTTTTTTCAAATAATTTAAATCAAGGCTTTTATTGGTGCGAAAATAATTTAAAAAAAATAATTTTTGGAGTTATTCAACTTTGAAGTGTTTCACATTCCTTCTCATGTTTTTTCTTCTTTTGGAGACAGTTGTATAAAAGATAACTATTTTTTTAAAAAAAAAGTATTAAAGATGAATAGTTTTTTTTAACAAATCTCTTACAGCTCTCAAAATATAAACCATGTGATAAAAGACAAATTAAGATTAAGAGGTATTAAGGGATACATTTACCACTTAAAATTTCAAAGGACATTTAGAGGTTTTAAGCTCTTATTTAAAATAAAAAAACAAACGCTCTTAATACCTAAACGTCAGAAAAAACATACTTTAAAGGTATTAAGAAGTAATTTTGAAAAAAGCAAACAGACCCTAATAATATGTTATTTTGATTACCGATGTGATTACTTTTACTCTACTAACAAGATGCAATTATCCAAATACAGGGTAAATTTTGTATAATTGGAAACATGGAGGGGGGAAAAGCGACCAAGATAAATCTGAGTGGAGAGAATTGAAAATATTTTCACATGGGTTGACCCTTTTGTTAAGAGCTAAAAGGAACAAAAATTTGAACACATTTGTTGGATCCACATCTAAAAAAAATATCCAAACACTAAAAAACAATTTTTTTATTTATATAATTAAAACAAATATTTTATGATTTCATTAATTAAAATATCTCTAACAATTATACTAAACTCTTTTTTTAAGATACTAGAAGGGTGTTCGCGCAATACAACAAGATACATCTTCATTTTTAATGTTTCGTTTTATTTTTTGTCTCTGTTGATATAATACGGTTTATGTGGTTTTGAGAAAAGATAACGTTTTTACCTTTGAATAAAAATAAATTTGAAGATATCATAAAATTTCGAAAAAATATATCGATATTAATATCAAATTAACTATTTAAAGTTTTCGTTATTTGTACGATTTCTTTAATTCAATTTTTCATTCTAATTTAATTCAGGTTTAATAACAAAGTAATTAATTGTTTTTGACTTAACAATATAATTTTTATAAAGATAATTATTCTGTCAAAACTCAATAAAGCTAACCATGATAAAAGTCATTGTCCTCACTTACCGAGTAAGACTATCGATTATTGCTTTTCGCTCTTACCTGGTAAGATTTTTAGTTTTTGTCATATTCATCCGATAAAGTAAATTGACTTGGTAAGCGCTTACCCCGGATAAACATTTGGTAAACGACACCTTAGTATGATTAGAGATAGAAATACGTTTTATTATCCCATAAT